ATTTATTGATGAGTACTTATTTCTGTTTAATCCTAGCTAGAAGAATATTTTCTATGACTTATGATTGTTGGCTAGGCCTCTGTGAATCATTCTTGGTGATAATTTTTTCTTCTGAAGAAATAATCAGACGATATACTTTATAGAATCTGATAGCCAATCATTTTCTATCCAAAAGGTGTACTTTCTAATTATTTGGGATTGCACAGACATTTGGTTATTAATTCTACTTTATTACTACTGTGTTAATATTTGGTAATTACTTTTGTTTTTACTTATGGATGATTGTCCACTTTAGCTATAGGTTCATTTTATTATAGATAAATTTAATAATAATAGCATGTTTTTAAAATGCAAAGCTCTCTCATCTGATCTTTGTTTTATTTTTATTCTTCAAGGATAATCCCAATATAACATCATATTCAATTTAGCTGTAGTCTTGCATGGGAAAGACTAAAAGAAAGACTGACACTCTAGTGTCACAATGAATTATTTTTAAGCTGAAATGAGTAGATTAACGAAAAGCTCCTATCTTTGGTGGACACCTTTTATGATAAAAGCGACTACGATTATTATTTGTTTGCCGCAAATGCACGCACTTGGTTCACTCTCACACTTGAAATAGAATTGCCTAAGTTCTACTCGCCTCGTCATTTGTGTGCTGTTTTTTTCTTAGGATTGCATGTGTTGTTAGTTCATTTTAGACCTTTAATAAACTGAAGAAGATCCTCAAGGAAGACCTAGAGGAACACATCTAGTAGGAGTCCATAGTATGCATGATAATTTCCAAAGTCGTGCCGTGGACATGATACATTCCCAGGCGTTTCGCCGGCATCGTCAACGAGTTTTGCTATTCTTAGCACCGCCGAATTATCAAACGAAGATTTAACTTGCGACGCTTTGAATTCAAATAATCCTTCTGCCCTAATCTTAAGTGGAATCTGATAAATATTCGGCTGAAAAGAAAAGATTATATTTTTCCTATGAGGCAGAGTAATATTGATTAACACAGCTGCCATGAATAATTGCAAAAGTGTCTTTTTAATTTTATTCGATTCAAGGGCTTTGCTTCTTCTGCACATTTATTATAGATTGTGTACAATCCTATACAATATGGTAGGATGCAATCAAATAGGACTTTGTTTGGTTGAGATACTTTTGCGGCCAAATTGATAGCATTGGTGTAAGAGATTATATTATTTTATCCATTAAACTATTAAGTATGATCAAAATAATGAGATTATTATTGCGAGACCATACTTCCAATCCTTTTGAAGGGAGTCTTTATGATATAATATCACATAAAAATTCCTTAATATCATGTCCAAACGTCTTTTGATGTTTGCTTTGCTACTATACTTTATTAATAACCTATAGTTTATTTAGAAAAAAGATATATGTAACATTTGTGTTTTTATTTTGAAGTACAACCCATATTACAACTTGTTATGTAAATTATTTTTGATTAAGTATGACAAAACGTGCCTTATTGCATGTCTTGCATATTTAAACAGATTATACATCGCAAAATATTCCAACACATTCCACCCCCATTACCCTAATTTCCCTATAAATTACCACTTCAACCTTATCATTACTATTTCACTTCATTATTTTCATTCCCCTAAATTTTTCTATCCTCATTACATCTTACTCCGCCCTTTGTCTGGCATTTTCTGTCTAGCTCCTGTTGGAGCATGGCGCTCAAGTGAATCTTCGTGATTGCGGAGGTTTCACAGCGTTACATCGTGCTTGCCAACGAAGCTTCGCTCACGTCGCTGAGACGCTATTGCGTGTTGGTCGAGCTAACCCTCAAATCAAGTGTCCCTTTTCTGGCAACACTGCACTACACGAGGCTGCCATGTTGGGTCATGCAGACTGCGTGAACTGCCTGCTGCGCTACCATGCAGCGCCCTGGGCGCGCAACACCGAGGCTGAGATGCCGTTCGAACTGGCTCTTCGTTTCGGCTTCGCAGATCTGGCAGCTGCACTTGCTGGTTACAAGCAGACTCCACCGATCACCAGTCAAGTATATAAGCACATCTAGAATCTAATGTCAATGATGCCACTTTTTTATTTATCCTTTTCAGCCTACGCTTCATTTCTGATAAATAAAGTTACCTTAGGTAGCCTATTTTGATGGAAAACCTGATAATTAAGTGTCTTTTAAAGATAAGGTAAATTCACAATTGAATTTAGCTTAATCTTGCCTCCAAAAGTATTTAATTATCCATGCTGAAACATGATATTCATATATTCTGGGCCTCGTCAACATCCCCAATAAGATTCGAAATTGAGTTAAGTTGTAATCGGTTATCATCCTGCCACACAATTACCGATATCATTGGATCACAGGGCAGAGCAATAAAAGCCTCCCTTATTTCATTTTTCTGTGTTGACACTGCCACTTAGGCCTACTTGTATTTTGCATTGAACAGTGTCTTTTTTTTAATAATCTGACATATTCGAACCTACTCAGTAGTAGCAGTGTTTTCGAGTATAGTCGTAAATAGACTTTTGCCTTATCATCTATTCCACTAGAAATGTTAATCGGACGAAGCCAGCTTTGCCTTTTAAGTTACATCTGCCCTGTAACCCGCTGGAACCTGAAGCTGTTGCGCCGCTTGGGTGCAGACAAAACGATGCGAAATCGACACTGGTCTGGCCTGAATGGGAATGTCTGAGAGGCAAAGCTAAGCAAATTTAATGACATTGTTAGTTCCTATACTCATTGTGGGAAGCCCAAATATCAGCCTTAGCAGCACTGAGCGGCATAATTTAACTCTTATTCTCATAACAAGATTGATAGTTTTAGGCCACCTCACTAGTTCCATGCTCATTTCCTACGTAGATGAGAGAGAAATGGCCATGTGAACTTTACTTATTTTACGCAAATCATGATTGAATTTATAGAAGTGGGTTGAACTCGTTGTCGCAACTTGGTCTTGCTGTCAGGGCGACTTAGTAAAACGCACCTAGTCCTAAGTCGTCTGCCATAATATTTGTCATGATTCCCAGCATCAGACAGTGGAGTTGGTACATTCTCAAATGTTTCGCTGGCATCATCAGTGAGTTTTGCCATTCTCCGCACTAAGCTACAAACTCGTCTAGGAGACAAATGAAGTCAATCCTTCGAAAAACGTTCTTCCGAAAACGCTTACGCTATCACTCCTTTTTCTGTCCTGTCCTATTTATCTACTCTTTACCCTCTTATCCCACTGCCGCCCTATCACAACTTCTAATTGTTAACATTCCACTCGTCAAAATGTGTGCTCTTTTGTGGCAAATATAGTGTGGCCTCATCACACTTGCTATTTACCCCGACCCCTCTCTTTCGATCGGCTTATCCGACTTGGGCCTCCAATCCGGATACTCTCATTATCTCGTAGATCCGTTCCTTATCTTTCTGGTTGACCGATTTCACTCGGTTCCAGTCCCAGTGTGCATTTCACTCCAGGCGCTATTCTTAAGGCCCTATAAGCATGTACACTGCCGCTTCAGTGAACAGAGTGCCTAAGC